AGTATATATTATTACATACTATTAAAGAAATAAAGTGGTCTTTTCTCCACTAAAAGAATGTAAGAGTTACGCAGACCAAAGAGGAGGCCACCTTGGCTTTATTTCCATTTAGATTTGTCACTTCTGAAAATAGTGTATGCTGTAAAAGTTGGTCAAGTGCAGTACACATGACTATAATCCCAACAATTAGAGGATAAGGTTGGGGCCAGCCTAGACTATATAGTGTGATCCTATGTGGAAAAATGAAGTTGGAAGTTTGTCAGTGGGAAAGTAAACTCATTTTAAAAGATTTTACATGCCTGAAAGTGGGCTATTATTAAAATTGTATATGATTTTCATTTCTCTTTGTTATGCTAGCTGGGGCTTGTATAGGGTAGAAACAACTGAGTGATTTTTAGGGTCAAACAGAAGCAGAAAGACAGCTAGAAAGTTTTGTGTACTGCTTGCTGTCAGGCACCCAGACACATATATACTTAAGAATAGTCAATTTGTCTTGGTTTTAAAATTTAAAAAAATCGTCTTCTGTGGCCTGGTAATGCTGCTTCCCCCTCAGGGGGAGGTAATTAAAGAGCAGGCCAATCAGTTCATGTCAGAGACAGTCCCTGTTCCTATTACAATGGAACCCACTTGGATACTGAACTGCCATGGGCTACATCTGTGCAGGGGTCTTAGGTTATCTCCATGCATTGTCTTTGGTTGCAGTATCAGTCTCAGGAAAGACCCCTGTGCACAGATTTTTTTGGTTCTGTTGCTCTTCTTGTGAAGTTCAGCCAGTCCTGATGAGACCTAATTCACTAGGATCAGAAAGAAGGAAAAGAAGAACTCCCCAAGTGGACTTGGGGAGGGGCATGCATGCAGAGGGTGGAGGAAGGGAGGGATTGGGACGGGAGGAGGGAGGGAACCACAGGGGGGGGGGATACAAAGTGAATAAAGTGTAATTAATAAAGAATTAAAGAAAAAAAATATTTCACACACACACAAAAATTTTTAAAAATCTCACCAAACTGGAGCAATGGTTCAGTGGTTAATAGCATTTGCCTTCTTCTAGAGGATCTAGGTTCTATTCCCAGATCTCACATGGCAGCTCACTATTTATAACTCTAGTCTTAAGGAATCTGATGCCCTTCTGGCCTCCAGGAGCACTGCATCCATATGGAGAACAAACATGTAGGCAGAACACTCAGACATAAAAATAAATAAAATCTCCAGAACCCCTCCATTCTGACCAGCCCAGTCACCTTGATCCTAGTTTATTCTCTGCATTCCTGAAAAGGCCTCACTGAAGTTTAGGGTTTTGTAGTGTAGTCTTTGGGCTTGGTTTTGTTTTCTAGACACGATCTTGCTATAAAATCTGGGCTAATCTCAAGTTGTTAACAGGCCTGCCTCACCCTTCTGAACGCTGATTATAGGCAATGTGTCACCACCACTACTGAGATGTCACTGCTCGTTGTTTAGACTGAAAGATTTTATAGTATAGCCTATGCTGGAGAGGATCAATGTATCCTCATTCTGCAGTACTCAGGCTGGCCTGCAACTCAAATATCCTCCTATGTCAGAGCACAGGAATTCCAAGCAACACCATAGGTTTGTCTTTCTGTTTTGTTTTTTGTTTTGTTTTGTTTTAAATTTGCTTTCTGCGTATGAGTATTTGTTTGCTTGTTTGTTTTTTTCTTCATACCTGTGTATCACACGTATGCCTAAGAAAGCCAGAAGAGGCATCAGACTTCCTGGGACTGGAGTTACAGATGGTTGTAAACTTCCTTGTGGGTTCTGGGAATTGAACTTTAGTCCTCCGGAAGAGCAGCCAATGTTCTTAATGCTCCAGCCCCGAGAGGTTCATCTTTTTTTTTTTTTTTTTAAATTACTCGTCTTGTATTCCATCACGATTCTAGTCAGTCCTAGCCCCCACCCCCACTAACACTAACCAGTAATAAAACACTGGCTTTAAACTGTTCTGAAAGTTGATTCCACATAACTTGGTTATTTTATTGATGTTGTTTTTGTGTATATTAAGAACACAAGTGCTAAATGTGACTCTTGAGTATTTGTGACAAAATGGATTTAGCCTATGGCTTAAGGATATTTACCACTGGGAGACTAGGAAATTATTAAAGGGGTTCATTTATTCATTTGTCATTTTCTGGAAGCTGCATTGTTGATGCACTGTAGCAGATAATCTCAGATAATAGTTGTGGTTTTTATTTTGAGGAGTGGGTTCATTCTTAGTATAATTTTAGGCCATCTTTGAGCTAAAACAAATTTACAGCTGTTTCTTTTTCTTTTTTTTAAGATTTGTTTATTTAAAAAAAAGATTTATTTATTTATTATGTAGACAGTGTTCTGCCCATATGCTGGAAGAGGGCACCAGATCTCATTATAGATGGTTGTGAACCACCATGTGATTGCTGGGAGTTGAACATAGGACCTCTGAAAGAGACCAGTGCCCTTAACCTCTGAGCCCCTTAGAGCTGTTTCACTTAAGTTAGTTTTTATAGTTTTTTGTATTTTCCAAGATGTTAAGGTGATATAAAGGAAAAATGATGAGGTTTTACGTTGATTGTTTGGGCTGTGACTTATACTTAACTAAATATTATGTTTCTTTGATTTTCAGTATTCATTTGGAAAATGGGCACTACAGACAATGCTTCTGAAAATTGTATGAAGATTAAGATTAGGGGAGGCAGCTGGTCAATGTTGGTGCATACCTTAAATTCCAGCACTTGAGGCAGAGGCAGGTGAATCTCTCAATTCAAGGGCAGCCAGGTCTATAGAATAAGTTCAAGACAGCTATGGCTATATTTAGAACAACCCCACCACCACCAAAAAATAGGCTAGGCATGGTGGCACATGTTTGTAGTCACAGACTAGGGAGATAGAGGTAGGTTCAGAATTTCAGGGTCATCCTCAACTATTAGAGAGTTTGAGACCAGCCTGAGTTACATGAGACCCTGTCACTAAAGGCCATATAAATAAATAAGTAGATGAAATAAGATACTGTATACAAAAAGTGGACAGCTAGCTGAAAACTGTTTTGCATGCCTATAAATTCTAGTTACTCAAGAGGCTGAGGCAAAATTGAGGGCTGCATGGAGCATTTGAGACTGGAGTGGAGAATTTCATGAGAACCTGTCTGAAAAATAATTTTTAAAACTTAAGTACTCACTGTAGTGACAGTTATTAGATGTTGACATTCTGATTTTCAACTGTACTCATATATGCTGCCTAATGCTTGTTTCCTTTTTGTCTACTAGGGAGCCCTTGGGGGAAAAGGGAAATAATTAGTGAAATATTGTGCTTTTCTTAAACTTCACATGTATTTGGGGTGCTGTTCCTATGTTATGGATTCCTGGAAAGTAGTTATATAACATCAGATTGTCAATGAAAACAACAATACAGTTAATGAATAGAAATATCAGAGTGTATTGTTTGTACAGTCTACATATTAGTTGTAGAAGTCTTTAGCTTCATAAGTCTGGGAATCTGTCCTCTCTTTCTCTCTCTCTCTTTTAAATATGCTTTGAAATAGGTTCTCATAAAACAGCCTGGCCTTTTAACTTGTGACTCTCTTACTACTTGCCTCCACTTTTTTGGGTTCTGAAAGTACAGGTGTGTGTAGTTTACTTGCATGAGATTCAGCCTTTCTCAATTCTTATTGTCTAGGTTTTGAGTGCCTTGTTATCACTTACAAAGTGTTGAAAAGCTTGGGTGTTTGAGATTGATAAAGCCTGTCTGAGTTAAGTCAATTTGAAAGTCTCAGATGGTCCTACTTAATATACAGTTTGCTGAGTTTGGAAAGAATAAGTTGTTGAAGTCTTATGAAAATAATTGCTGCTTAAAACAGAAGGAGAAATATTGGTTTTATTCTTTTGACATAGAAGACAGAAAAAAGTAGTGATTACTGTTCATGAAGGATATTTTGCTTGGAAGGTATATTTTCATCTAGTCTTCACACTATAATCTATGAGGTAGGTAGGTGGTAGTATCCTCATTTTACAGAGGAGAAAATTGGGGCTCAGAGATGTTGAACAACTTAGGAAATCAAATGGTAGCAAGTAGTAGAGCTGAGATTTACTACTGGTCACTTCTTTATGGGGGGGTTAATGTTTTAGGTTTTTTATTTTATTTTATTTTATTTTATTTTATTTTATTTTATTTTATTTTATGTGCATGGGGTTTTGCCTGTATGTATCTGTGTACCTTGTGTGTGTTTAGTGCCCATGGAGGCCAGAAGAGGGCATAGGATCCCTACATTTGTAGCTACAGACTGTGTGTGTAAGCTTGTGGGTAGGTGCCAGTAATGGAATCTGGGTCTCTTTGGAAGATTAGCAAGTGCTCTTAACTTCTGAGCCATCTCTCTAGCCCCATATTATTTTTATTTATGTTGTTTTATGTGTTAAATGTAAAAAAAAAATTAATGAATATTAGACATATATATTTAATGTCAAAACCTGTAGCTGGTTGTGATAATGTACACCTGTAATTCTGGGAGGTTGAAGCAGGATTTTGGATTTGAGGCCAGCCTGGGATAACTGTTTAAAAATAGCTAAATACAAATTTTAAAAATGTTAAAACTACCTTGTTGATCCTTTATACTAGCAGAGAAAATTGAAGTGTGAGCTTAAAGTGCTCATTTTAAAGTTAGACTGGGAGCTGGGGATGTTGCTTAGTGGTAGTATTCTTGCCTGTGATGCTAATGGTTCTGTCTCCAACACCGTAAAGGAAGTTAGATGTGATTCTACATGTTGGGAATGGTCATTGGGGCATTGAATGAGGATGATTGTAAATGGAAAGTAGGAGTGGGCCTGGTCAGAGAAGGCCAGCTGCAGGAGTTGTAGCAGATGGCAAAATTTGCCATCTTATTGCCTTATTTGGAAAGTATCAAGGTGTGCTTCTTGGAACCAAATTCAAGCTTTCAGTTTAGGCTTTTTCTTTATTAGGGAATCAACAGATGTTTTAAACAGAGAAGAGTAAGGGTGGAATAATAATAATAATAATTGGAATATTCTGAAAGATACTAAGGGAGGTTATGTTGTAGAAAATAGTTTTTATTTTGGACACAGTTCATACTGTGTAGCCCACACTGGACTCCAAACTCGATGATCCTGTTTCAGTCTTCTGAGTCCTGGTATATGCCACCATGCTGTGCTCAGAAAATCCTTTTTTACCCAACCAGCCATGATTTCAATATTCACAGATAAATGCTCAGTGTGAGTACCATTATTAACTAGCCATAAATGGTACACACATTTTGATTTAAACATATTTCCTACTAAAATCATCTTTTCAACTTCCATATGAAACTTAGTAGCTCTGAAGAGTCATCTAGATGCTTAATGTAAATATTTTTGGTAATTAAATATAGTGAAAAGATAATTCTATTTAGATGGACAGTAATACTATTCAAATCATCTTCAAATAAAGGTTATTTTAGCAAGTTTTATTTCTGTGAGATAGCACTACACTATATAAACTTAAGAGACAAAGTTATAGGAAAACAAAGATTACTTACAATGAATAAACAACAATAAACTTGTTTTGGAGGGGATATACCATTTTTGTCACTAAGTAAGACTTTATTAAGATTCCTGAGCCCTGCTCAAACAATTACTATATTAAAGAAAAAAAAAATAGTATACAATTATCACATATTTTGGTGACAGAATTACCGTAGTACAAATGAAAGTTTGGATTTATTTATTATAGTACATTCTGATACTCATTTAATAGGTAGAGTAGCTGCTTTATTAATACAGTTTTGATTGAATCAGCCTGTTTGATTAAGTACTAACAATTTAAGTTGTTATTTATTATTCCTCCCATCAATAGGACATTCCTGGCAGCACTAATAAGGTAAGAAAGAATATTAAAAATTATATGGCTTACTTTCTCATTTTTACAAAGATTTTTCTCCTAAGCTTTTGTTTCCAGATTCTTGTTTAGATTCTTCTGTTAAGTAAGCTCTTACTTGATTGTAGTCCTTAGAGGATCAGACTGTTTGCTTTTCCATCGTTCAGCAAGTGGTACAAAGAAAAGGGAAACTGAAGACAGGAGATAACAGGCGCCAGAAAAGTAGAAAGAGCCTGTGTATGTTTGTGTATAATCGTATATCCAGCCTGGAAGGAAGGAGTGATTTCTGTTAATGAAGAACCTTTCCCTTTGTAATTCTCAAGCAAGTCTTAGATTTTGAAAGAAGGGGCCTCCTCTTCGCACTCTGTATTATGAGCCACTGGAATTAAATGAGCTTCTCACCTGTCTTCCTTGAAACTGGATTATTTTCATCTGAGTAGAAATTTACACATCATTAAAAGTCGTTATGGACTTAAAAAACACGTGTTAGGGTGGAGACTGGGGAAAATTAGGGTCATCACATTTTATGGTGACTCTTAAAAAAAGACCACTGATTAAAATGCCAGAATGAGCTAATTGCAAGATGAAGTTATAGCATATAAATGTGGGTTTATATACTATATAGTATATAAATATTATATACTATATAGTATATTATATATAGTATAATATATATAGTAATTATATATTACTATATTATATAGTAATATATAGTGTTATATAGAGTATATAGTAATATACTCTATATAGTAATATATAATTAATATATTATATAGTGTACTATATATAGTATAATGTATGGTATATAATACTGTTGTGTGTGTAAATATATATTTCTATGCTATGTATAGTATAGAAATCTATAATATAATATAATATACATTACACATATATATATGTCATACAGTATATAAATGTAGAAGCAGCTCTTGGCTACCATGCAGGGGAGGGAGGGAAGGAGAGAGAGAGGAAGATGGGGATGGGGGGTCGGATGGAGACATGGACCAAAATGTCTGGGCTATATAGTGAAGGAGGGGCTGGGGTATGCCAGCCTCCCCCTGCAGCAGGTAGGGACTGAGGAATGTCTGAAACCAAACAACTACTGTTACTTTTTGGAAGGAAAATAATCATGAATAACTTTTTTTTTTTTCCAAAGAATAAAAGACTTATCTTTTCTTTACTGAGTTAACATTTGAGTATTTACCATGTCCTGTGTCAAGGATAATACTGAGCCAGATAAGCATTGTCTTTGCCCTCATGAATTTTACAGTTTAGTGGAACAATAGATATTAACAATTTAAATTATAAATTTGGTAAATTCTATGAAGGGAAAGCTGGGGGAGTGGGAATTGTGATCCCATGAGAAGGAACTGCTTGATAAATGTGTCAAGGAGTTCCTCCTGGAACTCTGCAACTGAGCTACATTTCTAACTTAATGTTCTTTAAAATAAGAATGGGAGAAGCCTTGACATCTTTTAGGTCAGTGGCACATAGTAGAACTTAAATAAAACATCTTAGAAATATTTGTTTCGCTGTATGATAGCAAGAAATCAACATATAAATGCCCATATAGAAGTCTGTACTCTGGAAACATCTTAGTGTTACAAAGATGTAACTTTGTGTAACATGTAAGATGAATGAAGTATGCTTGAATGGTTCTGGGTTTGGGGGTGATACACTAGTGAAAAGAGAGGTGAAAATACTCCGTGCTTATGTTTTGTTGTTTTTGTTTTCTTCCCAACCCCAACTCCCATTTAGTGTAATTGTTTATTGCCTTTTCTTTGTTCTCTTATTTACCTCTGAGTTCCAGGATTTGTGGTTTTTGTTAGTTGGTTCTGGGTTTTGAATCCAGGGCTTTATGTGCAGACATGCTAAGCCTATATTCTATTACTGAGCTACACTCCAGCCCTTTTTATTTTGGTAGTTTTGTGTTTTCTATTTTTAATGTAATGCATGAAATGGAGTGTTTTATAGCCTTTTAAAATCAGCTAACTTTAAGGAATTTGTTTATTGATTCCTTATTTGATTAGTGACGTCTCAATTAAATGTTTCTTGGGGTTAAGTTGAAGGAGTAGAGTGAGGTTGATGAATCTTATATTCTATGGGTGTGACTGACTTATAACGCCCTAAGAAATAGGTGAATAATCTTAGCTTTGGAGTTTTTGTAAAAAGGAGGGAAGATGGAGCAGCAGCATCTCCTCCTACATGTATGTGTCTATGTCCTGTGAATTTGTGATGATTATCAAATGTTAGCATCATAGGAAAAGATTAAGCGTTCTTGATAGTGATGTAGATATTGCTAGTGAAAGGAGCACAGGTGAAAATGGGTTCAAGAGAATCGTTTATAAGCTTTTTTTTTTTTTTTACGTACACACTTTGTGAAGAGTATTATATCTGAAACATTGAGGATTAAAATATATTTAATATTTTTTTTTAGAGAAGGAAATCATTTGGCATATTTCAAGTTGGATGAAATAATTTGTTTTGAATGTTCTGCCTATTTATACTTGCTAATTGAGATATCAACATCTTTAAAATTCTAGTTGAGATCCAGAGCCAAATATATAATCTTTAATTTTTAATGATAGACAAAGGTTCACTACTTCACATAGATGTTTTAATACCAATCAAGCTTGAATTTTTAACCTAGAAGCCACCTTACACTTGATTATTATAGCTAATAAAGATTAATCTTATCCAAGACACCTAGTATCTCAAGTATTTTGTATTTGACATATTCGGAATAAGATATGGTAAACATAGTTTAGTAAATTAAAATCTTGGGGTCTTTTAGGATTGGAACTTCCTAAAGGCCCCAGGATAGAAATTTGCAGTTAATATTTACTAAGAGCACTTAGGCATTGGTTCTGTGCTCGGTTTTATTAGAGGATTAGCATTTGGACACTCAATCTTGGCTTTTGCAAAAACAGAATGATAATTTCCTCCTTTAAACCACTGTAGAGCTATTTGGAATGTATTTTTATGTTTCATAGATACTCATCAATCTTTGGAATGCCAAGTCAGGGGGAAGCTGGGTAGGTGGGGTGGTTTTGAGGGAAATTACCTGGAAGTGAACAGTTTACATATTTTCTTCAATGTTAATATATTCCTTTTTATTTATACAGAAAGAACTTTCCTCTGTGTCCTCACTTGTCTTTCACTTGTTCCAGTCTCCACAATAGTCTATTACAGACCAAAAGATTGAGCTATTTTTTTTTTCTTCTAATAAATTTTTAGGTCACAGAGAAATTCTTCACCAATAAGGCAACATAACTGCTAAAACTTTAGAGGTTAATTTGGTAAATGGTGGTACAAAGATCAGATTGAAATTTTTGCTCAGTCTTTTATTTGACTAAAGATAGACTGGAAATAGGGAATGACCTGTCAGTTCATGACATAGCTTATGTGTTAAAGGGACAGAGACCTCCTTGGAGAAATGACTTTACATTTTACCCATTTGTCTTTTTCTGTAAAATACTGAGCTAGTAAAATGTAGCCAGTTTCCCTGTCCTCTTTGACTTAGATGGTTGAAATATCTGAGAGAGGTCTGGGGGAAGGGAAGAAAATGATATACATAAAAATATATAAGTATTCAAATTTATATGGAGATTTTCTTTAGGGACTTTAACCGCTTCTGGAACACAGCCAACATATCAGTTCAGGGATTAGAAATTTTTGTAAAGCAGGGCATGGTGACACATACCTGCAACCTCAGCACTTGAAAAGTAAGAGAATTTTGAGTTTCCTTCACTCTGTACTTCATAGCAAGTTCTAGGTAGCCTGCACTATAAAGTGAGACACCTTGTCTTAGAAAACAATAACAAATAAACAAACCCCCCCAAATTTTAAAAGTTTTCTTAGAGTTTGTCCAAAATGGTCAGTTTTATGAAATAACTCTGACTGAGTTCAACATTTGCACTATCCCACACCCATTTCAAGTTAAGGAAGTAGATGCCTTAGGGTTATGCCTGCTTCATCAGATGTTCAGTCCTGGAAGGAAAAGAATGCAGATTCCAGGAACTGCCAGTTTTAGAAGTTTTAGGCTTGTCCTAAGTATGAAGCCCTGCTAGAGTATAGAGTACATGGCAGAGTAAGTGCTGAAGAGTTGTAGGAGGCCTTGAGAGAGGGAAGGTTCTTATGTACTGAGTTGCAATAAGCTAAAGTTGCTTGGTGGTTACTGCAACTTTAGGTTTGATTATAGAGATAAAATCAAATTGGAATTTGAAAAGTTAGGGGAGTTTTCAAGATATTTGGGCTTGCTTCAACTACGTATGTGCATAATGCATTTGTTTATTGGGCATGGGAGTAGTGGGAGAAGGGAGAACTGTCTGCAAACATATTTATAGGTCTCTAATGTGGGCCTTCTAGTTTGAAATGAAATAGGCTTTTTATTTTGAGCTCATGTTAAATGTTTTGTAGTCAAGATTGGGAATTTTATGTAATTTTTTGTGTTGGAATTGTATGTTGCAGATTATTTTTCTTTCTTTTTTTTTTTTTAATTTACCTTTATTTTATGTGCATTGGTGTTTTGCCTGCATGTATGTCTATGTGAGAATGTCAGATCTTGGAGTTACAGATAGTTGTGAACTGCCATGTGTGTGCTAGAATTTGAACCCGGCCCCTCTGGAAGAGCAGTCCTCCCTTTAACTACTGAGTGATCTCTCCAGCCCCATGATTATACTTTTCTACCCAAGTTGTTGTCTGTAATACTTCTATGTATTCATATTTATTTATTGATCAGAGTCTACTAGAAATATAACAAGATTTCAAATATTAATTCTTATAATTTCCCCACAACCTTTCAAAGCTACAATCTTGGTGCTAAGGTGGAATACTAGCTGCTATCTATGAGCAAAAAACTAGCAGGTTTGTGTGTGCTGTGACATTTAACCTAGACTTAAGTCTGCTAACCACCCTCAGCTAGGGAACTGTGTCTGATTTGAGCTATATTATTAAATAAAATTGGATTTGTTACTAATTATTGGAAGAAAATAGAAAGGATCTGGTTGGAGTGGGCAAAGGTAGCGTTCCATGGAGGAGCAGATGTGGAGAAAGGTAGGTTTTTGTCTTTTGAATTCTTGTCTTATGTTAAGGAATTTTGTTGCTGCTATATTTCTTGTTGTATTCATGATGATAAAAGTTAATAAATAATTTTATTGTCCATGTGGTCTATTTATAGATTTTTTAAATTATTTTTTAAAATTACATGCTTTCTATAGGTTTCCTATGTTCTTTTCTTTCCTAGAATTATTAAAGTGTTGTATAGAACTAACTTTTCTTTTTTGTTCCCATACAGGAAGGAGAAATATATTGTTTATGTATTCATTGTTACCATTTTAAACAAACATTTGACTGAGGATTTACTCTTTGCCAGATTCCTACTTAAACATATCTATATTCTTTTATAGGAATTTCAGCTTTTCGTTTGGTAGTAGAGATGGGTAAGTAAAATTGAGAATCTCTTACAGCTCTGAAGATTACCTATAAACATCTAGATTTAAAGGTGAACACAGTCACATAATTTCCCATATCGTTAATAATCAAGTAATGTTTTTATTTTGATTTTCAAGCTCTAGGAATTGATGTTAGGGCCTCACATGTGTAAGGCAGGTGGTCCACCACTGAGCTGTATCTCCATTCCAAAGAACTGAGTTACTCTGAAAGCCAACATGTAGTGTTTCTTTGGTAGTTGCTGCTGAAGTTAGAACTTGGGAAGAGATTCATTGGTCTTTATAAAGTTCTCTTTATCGTTTTATAGAGGAACGAGTTACAGAAACATGGGCTTCCCTGAAACCTCTCCCTTTAACAAGATGCTTAACCACATAACACCACTCTCAGTGAAATGTCCTTAGTTTTGCCTTACCATAATCTTGAGACATTGTAAGCATCTAACTCCTAGACTTAAAATCTATGTGGGCTTTTAGCAGTAGCCTAATCACTACCTTTGACTTATTAGAACTTAGAAAATTTATGACTGCCCAAGTAAAATGCTTAGGATTAGTGGATACAAGTATTTATCAGGAGCTTCATATTTATCCTTACATATAGTTCTAAGTATTTTAGACTTTGGGTAAGAAAAGACTATAAACATTTTTCTTCTGGTTGATTAAAAACAAATATATTTTATAATACATTAGGTGTGTGCATGAAATAAAAGTTTGACAATAAAATGATTATTTTCTAATTTGCTCTGTTGCAGTCTTTCTTTTTTTTTTTTTTTTCATTAAAAAAGGAAATAAAAAGGAAAGGAAATAGAAGCCCAGAATGATGGCACATGTCTGTAGTTCCAGCACGTGGGAGATTGAGGCAGAAGGATCAAGAGTTCAAAGCCAGCCTTCTCTAGGTAGTAAGTTTAAAGGCAGCCTAGGCTACATGAGACCCTTCCTCAAAAAATACATATTAAAAAAATAATAAATATAAACTTAACATCACTATAGTTTTTTAGTTTTGTATTTTTAAATGATAGGGCAGAATCACTGTTTTCAGTTACTGTCTGAAGTAACAAAAGTGAGGGCTGGCTCAGTTGGCAGATTAATTGTCTAGCATGGGTACCCTGGGTTTGCTCTGACTCCCCACCACTGCAGCATAACCTACATCATTGACGTCACACTTGTAATCCAGCAGGAACAGAGTGATCAGAAAGGTCTTAAGGTTCCTTGGGTGAAAAAGGAGTTTGAAGCCTGCTTGGACAAATGAGACCTTGTCTCAAAAACAAAACAAGTCACTTAAAACTTGCAAAGTTAGTTTTAAGGTGAGTTCTTTTTTGTGAACAATATTGTAGCAATCAGATCAATTAATAAATTGGATCTTTGATCTGTGAGAATCTAACATTCAAGCCTGTTCCCTAGGAATAATTTTTTCTGTGTTAAGTAGTCAAGTTTTTAATTAATCAGCAAGCAGAAAATATCATTTAGGTAAAACTGGTTGTTTCCAGCAAAGTAAAAGAAAACATCTATAGAACTTAAACTCTGTAATTAATATCTGCATCTAATAATGTGTACAGATTTTACTGTATTGTTGATCAGGTAAAACAAATACAGGAAAGTCAAATAGAGCATTTAAACCTGATACTGTAGCATTGGTCCTAGATTTCTATTTTCTTAGTTGAAATTTGCTCAGAGTGTGGCTTAGTTATTACCTGCTATTGGTGGTCCAGAAAGGACAGCCATCCCAGCAAAGAAACTGGCATATCCCAAAAACTTGTGTACTCTAGAATTCTTACATAGATCGACCTGTGGGAAATGAGAATTCAGTGTTAGCCATTTTAAGGAAGAACTTCTCCCATGGTTTATCTTGACAAAGGAATGACAAATACCATTTTTTAAAAAAAATCTCAAACTGAATGGTTTGACTCCTGGGGTGATTCGTTTGGCTGTTTGCCCTGGTCTTAGGAAAGGGAATAGAAGTCAACTAGGCAACAGTAGTTTGGCTAAGGAAGGTGGTGTTTTCAGTTTGTTAGTGGGGAAACACTGGTGTTTGGCTTTGGTTGGTTAACCTTTAATGTGGCTCAGGAGTGTTTTTACTTCCCAAACCTTAATGATTGTCTCCGTTAGGAAATACTATTTTGCAATGTGCAATCACAGAATCCACCTGTGGCTGACTACTAACCATAGGTTTATAAGAAATCTGTTAACACAGAAACTGATTTCAGCCTTGGGAACCTGGAATTTTGACTAAGCATCATACACTATCTTCCAAAACTTAAAATAAAATAAAATAAAATAAAATAAAATAAAATAAAAAATCCCACTTCAATTCATGGTTTAAGTCAGTTTGAAATAAAAATGAAGAACTTATTAAAACAATGTCCTTGAAGTACACAGGACCCAAGGCAGTACACAGAAGCCGTCCTTGTTAGCAGACCTGTATGCTTGTGTTCTAGCAAGAGCCAGAAAACAAAACCCCTAGAGCCTGGACAAGAGGAGTGAACAGAAGGTAATTGGAATCTTGCTGGTCTCTGTGTTCCTTTTCCTGTTCTATGTGGCTAGTCTTCTTAGCTTCTTTTTCTCACACAGTAAGGTGAATGAATAATGACCGGTTATAGCTGGCTACAGGATTTCTGAGGTCTTAATTTTTTAATGATAAAATATAAAATTCTAATTTTCTAGAAGGCTGTTATTTATACTTTTTCTGAGTGATTTAGCATTAGTAATAGAGTCTACTCACCAATACTGGGAGTATTAGTGCCAGGTAGCCACCAGCAAAAATGGCAAAAAAGATAGTATAGGCCATAAGGAGTGGGAATGTGGTGGCTAAAGGAGCAAGCAGGTTAGTTACACCACACAGAATGAGGTAAAACTTGTGGTATTGATACTTCTTGATCCAGTTTTGATCAGCAATCCATCCAGAAATGAGCTGACTGACTGTCTCAGTGATACCTGCAACAGTAAATACAAAGTCAGGTAATCTGTTTCCTAGTCCTTTGGTAAGAATGTCAGTGTATAAGTGCATCTTTGTCCAAAAAGTAGGATACCATCTTGAGGCCAAGGTACATGAGGAAAAAGTGGATTCATTCTGAAATAGGATATGTAACTTACTTTTCTCTTCTAAACATAGCTAATAAAATACCAGAATGCTACTTCCAACTGAACATGAAATCATCAAGTTGTCATGTGTGTTTTCTAATTGTGTGTGCAATCTCTGTTGACAAGACCATGGGCTAAAGAGGTCTTAGAGTCTCTTCAAAGGTCCTGCAAGTGAGGATATGAAACTTAAGTGTCCTGAGGAGTCATGGTGAAACAAGAGAAAAAGCTAAATAAAATCTCACATTAAAAGATATAGACAATGGGACTCTTTGTTTATGAAGCTTTGGAATTTAAGACCTCCAAAGGTTATAGTTAATTTGAAAGTGCATATGAAGCCTAAATATGTCATTTGGGACATAGATGGTATGGTGTAATGAGTAAAGTTTAAGAGCCACAGTTTTTCACTTAGCATTCTTACTGTTTAACCTGTTTCAAGACATAGCAGTTAAAAATAAAAGTTTTCATCAAGAATATCAGGAATCCGGACATGGTGGTACATGCCTTTAATCCCAGCACTAGGAAGGCAGAGGTAGTCAGTTCTCTGTGCAATTCCAGGCCAGCCTAGTCTACAGAGTGAGTTCTAAGAGAGCCAGAGCTCGGTGGTTCAACCCTGTTTCAAACAAGAACTTAGCATGAGCAAGGCTTGAGGTAGAGTGCTTAGTGGTCCAGTACTCCCTTAGCTTGTACAAGGCCTTGTGTTTAAAAAATAGCATAGCCTACACTTGTTTTGAGTTTAAAGGGTTCAAACATAAATTCCATTAAAAGAATAAAAAGTGATACTACTTTGTATTTTTTATAGCAGGCTCCTAGGAAGCACATTGAAACTATAGTATGATTTTCGGCCTAATTTGTATAGCCTTAGTCTTATATAAATGGATTCAATCAGACAGTGAGAGAAAATGGTTAACCAAAGCTCTTGTGTGACAGCATTTTTTTGACTGAAGCAACTCTACAGTGAGAACATTTGAAACTAGGTGTCTTCAGCTTTGCAAGGGCTTGTTAAGTTGATGTTTCCCCAGTAAAGAAGAAAAGTTGAACTGCTGAGAATTGCCAGGTTACTGACAGCTGTGAGGGAAATCACTGTTACAACTATCCTATAGATAGGAAAGGGGCATCATGGCATGGAGGAGAATCCCTCCCATAGCAAAGAAAATCACAGCAAAATCCAGACCTGGGCAGTAAAGCTTCAGAATCAGTCCTTCCAGTTACTACACTGTTTTCTAGCTGGGCTTTCTTTCCAGAGTAGCTGTTGACACTTAGCACCAGCTTTTTGAAATTAGGTTTCTACAAAATGAGTAATTTATATCCATTGTGTTAGACATCTGAAAATGAATAAGTCCACTAGAATCTGCAAGGTAGCAGTTGACACAGCTGCATGAGGAGATGCACAGTACTCTGTTTAGCCTTAGAAAACTTGCTTTTTATAGACTTTCCATGGTCCACTCATGTTCGCTCTCTTGCTGCTTCCCTCCTTTCTCCTTGCTTTCCTTTTAAAATAAAATTTAATAAACTTTTACCAAGCTAAGTTCATTTTCTTTCTAGGTAAGAGGTTTGAAGTAGGTTTTCTTACCAGCTACAGACACAAGGTAGGAGGCATCCATTATGTCAATTCCAAGTGTTTTGGCTCTGGCTACCAGGTGGAAAGTAGGAATGAAATATGCTAGTTGACTGAGAAGAAAAGACCAGGTAAATATGTAGAAGAAGGGATTCCTAAAGAGAAAAATATCTAAAAGTTTTTCTTTGCAGTTCCACGGAACAAGCTTTTTCTTGTAACTTTTGTCATTGTTTGTAAGTAACAGCATGTTCCTGTGAGGCCCATTGCTGAATTCTTCACTTTGATTTTCTAAGACAGTTAAATTTTTAGTAGGTTGTCCAGATTTCTTCATAGTACTGCCATCGATGGAAGACTCTTGTGTCTCATTGCAGTGTGGTGTTTCTGTCCTATACAATATCCCTGGTCCAGTTTCAGACAAACTGATATCTTTGTTCTCTGTTTGGATATGGATGGGTCTTAAGAGCATGCTGGAAGGCACCAAATTCAGTGTAATAGCGCCAAACAATATAAGAGCACCTAAATAGAAGAGAGAAATTGAGAAGGTAAGAATAACCCTTCAGTTTGTGGTACTGTCTACTCAGAAGAGGCCAACCTACATAGTCCAGTAATTCTTGAAAATACTTTGCCTCCCATGTTTACTTAAAAACATGTTTTATTTATGTGCATGCATGTGACCTACTGAAGCAAGAGGAGAGAATCGGCTCTCCTGGAGCCGGAATTCCAGGCAGTTGTGAGAGATATCTGCTGTAGGTGCTGGGAATGGAATTCCAGTCATCTAGAGTAACACCAAAATGCCTTTACCTGCTGAGCCATCTCGCCTTCCCTGCCTCCCAAATTTAACTGAAAGCATTTAACTCTATTGACAGTATACATGCTATAAAAATGTAATGCTTTGGAGATAAAAAATGAAGTTGGACTAAGAAATCATACAGAAGGTTATTTTTGTTAAAGGAAAAGGTGGGAATGGGTTGGAAGGCAGGTTGATAATCTGAATGGCACAAATTTACAATACATTTTAAGTAGATATTTTAAGTATATTGCAGTGACTGGATTTTGGTGTAGGAAACAGAATTAGCTGACGAGACTTGTGGGGAAATAACAAGGGGACAGGCTTCCATCCTATGATATATATATTTTTTAATTCCCTTGAAAGTACATGCTAGTCTTGCCTTTGATAGCACTTGATTGGTTTCAGAACCTGAACATGGCTTGTGTTTCTGGAGAGAACAAGTAGTGCAGGCTTTCTTAGAGGTTTGTCAGCTGGAGGTTCCCATTCACCATAGGACTACTGAATAGTGCTCTACATTGGAAAGAGTTGCCAGAACTACTTTAAAGACAGAAATAGACACACATTTTACTAAAATGCTTCAGATAGGAAATTAAAGGGTTTGGTGAAAATTTCTAGTTGATAATTTATATAAAAGATTATACTGTCGGAACATAATCTTTTTACAAATGTTCTGTTTAATTTATTTTAGGTTTTTTTTTTTTTTAAGTACAGGGGTTTTTGTTTTGTTTTTCTTAGGAGGAAAATAAGAATGTAGGATTGGAGAAAACAGAAGAGCATTGTTTTTCTAAGGGTTTTTCTGCACAGTGTTTCACCTCATGTATTGAATTCCAAAGAGAATTCTGAGTAGGTAGGCAAAGCCTGTAGGTCAAGAAAGATCTCTCATATTCCCTAAGGATGTGCTTTCATTAGGTATCATGCTTATTTCCCCTCAAGAATTATCTTCAGTGCTGGGGATTGAATCCAGAACCTTGTACATATTAAAGCAGTAACTTCTGCAGTTGTTGTTATGTGGTGCCTCATGCTTGTAATCACAGCATTGCCACAAGTTTGAGGACAATCTGGTCTACCTAGCAAGTTCAGGACCTGCCAAGTTCTCATAGTGACCTTAGAGTGAGGAAAAGGAATTTGTCTTAAAGCTTCAAAGGGAGGGTTAAACATTCAATTTTTAGTGTTGATAGTTTAGAAATTTAGATTGACTCACCTGTCCAGTCATAAAGATCTATCAGGAACTTTGTAAAGGGTGCCAACAGAAATGTCAGTCCCATTCCAGAACGGGCAATTGCTGTAGAAAGACCCAATCTTTTTTTGAAATATTTGGTAATTACCACAGCAGCTACTTGGTACAAGAAAGCAGACCCCAATCCTAAAAGAAAAACAAGTTTGAAATTAGGTCATGTTAGGTCATTAGTTATTTGATCAGATGTTATAGATTAGAATATATTTAGGATCCATAGGCAGTAAAGGTTTCCTGTTTTATCTTTTATAGTCTCTTTATAGTGGACTCACCAGGTAACAGCCCCATTGTCACACAAAGAAAGGGAACGCCTGTGGCCCAACTGCTGACCAGATAGCCACCAGAAACAAGGAAAGTCCCAAGAATGGAGGTAGTTTTTTCTCCAAGTATGTCACAAATAATAGCAGCCAGGGGACCTTAAGAGAAGAAAGGGGAAGTGCAAGGTTAGTGTGCTCTGGCATCCCTTAGTCCCTATGTGTGATTTGAATAAATGACTAGAGGAGAACAAGACAACTGCTTTAAGATACTGTATTTTCAAAATAAGATTGTATAGGTGGCCTCTTTTGTAAAGAGTTGAATCACAAATCTTCCTATCACCACCAACTAGAACTACTAGAGAGATTGGGTTTTGTTTGCTTTGAATGTGATCACATAATTAGGACTGAATGGTTTCACTTTGAGGTTGAAGTCATGGCTCACTGGATATAAAGCCTTACCAGACTAGAAAGAAAAGCATGAAAAAGTCCAATCATAGTTAGATTCTTAATTCCTTAATTCCTTTTTTATTTGTTTTGTGTTTTGTGTGTTTTGTTTTTTTTTTTTTTTTTACATTTCTGTCTTTTTCGAGACAGGGTTTCTCTGTATAGCCTTGCCTGTCCTGGAACTTGCTCTATAGACCAGCCTGGCCTTGAACTCAGAGGCCTGCTGCCTTCTGCCTCCAAAGTACTAGGAATAAAGATATGCATCACCAACACCTGGCCTTAATTTCATTTTAACCCTAATTTTTCCCAACTTAATTGCCAAGTTGAGAAGAGCTGAAATACTCTGATGTCCCTTTGAATATTTTATATTAATATTAATGCATATTAATAAATGAACTTTAATGTAACGACTTCAGCCCTAAAGGAGTGACAGTGTCAGTCTCCATAGACAGCAAATTTACTGCCACTTTTATACCTGCAGAAAAACGGAGTGATGACATGATGGATCCAATCCAACCAATTTGCTCTGAAGTGCTATCAAATTCTTCTTGAAAGACCACAAAGAAAATCGCAAATGTTTTGGTCATTCCCATCACAAATACATTTACCTAAACCAAAGCATACCAGAGTCCTTGTTAGGTGGGAAGTCAGGCTATTTCGGTTTGATGCCACCATTCCTCAACTCCTACTTGTAAAGAATGGTGGCAACCACCTACCCTCCTTTAATCAACATTTCCAGTCTTACTTCAGAATAGTGGTATTTCTTATCTAGGCAACAGACCAAGAATTGGCAACTGTATTGGAGGCTTCCAAAGTTCAGGAGAGGATCCCAAACATTTTTGTCATTCTGACTTGAAGGAAAGTACAAAACTAAGTTTGGGGCTTAGAAGATGGCTTAGCAGTTAAAACAATTTTTGCACTTCTAGAAAACACAATTTCAGTTTCCAGCACCCATAATCTGTCAATCTGTTATAATTTTCCTCTAAAAAGTCAAAACTATCAAATTACATAAATATCAAATGCATTCGACTTGTTTCAGTTCAGAATACAGTGTACCTTGTTATGAGCAAGGATCACGAATCTGAAAGGTCATCCTGTAAGTCTTTAACCTGTGTGTGTGAATTCTGTGGTGAGTGATGGCCACAGACTGCTTATCTCTGGGGTTTTTAGTTTTGATATTGGGTTTTTGTCTGTTTGGTTTGGTTTTGCTTGTTGCTCTTTATTTGAGCCTGTAATCTTGGCTACTCTGGAACTCACTGTGTTGACCAGGCTGGCTCTTAACTCACAGAGATCTCCCTGTCTGTGCTTCCCAAGTACTGGGATTAAAAGCGAGCACCATCACTCCTGGCTTTCTTCTCTGTGCTCTTAATCCTTTGAATCTGGCTAGCCTTTGGTCTCCAGTCAGAACTTTTTATTTTCTTGATGTCTGGCTTATGACCACTGTGAAATGGGTCTGACTTGCTCAATAACAGGCTGAGTTGTGTATTCACAGAGTAGCAGGAAAACAAGGGCAGAGCTTTCAAATCTACCTAGCTAGTTCTCTTTTAATTTTTAACTTCCTAGTTATTATTTTTTTTTAGACTTTAAAAAGATACTAAAGACCTCTCACAATGTCCGTATTTTCTCTTAAGTAGCCAAGCAGACTACTATGTAAGTCTTGACACCATGCCTTGGATCAAACTTGGTATGATTCAGTCCTGCTTCAGAGTCATCAGACATTGTAATTGCCTCACCTCCAAATGAAGCAAAAAAATGGAATAGTCCAATCCTTAATTTCCAATTTAGAAGCAGTTAGATTTTTGTTGCTTTGTTTTGTTTTGTTTGTTTGTTTTTGAGATAGTTTCCCTGTGTAGCCCTGGCCATCTTTTTAAAAAATTAATTAATTTACTTTTTTATTAATTACAGTTTGTTCACTTTTCATCTCCCCTGTAGCTTCCTCCCTTATCCCCTCCCAATCTCACCCACCTTCCATTTTCTCCACCCATGCCCCTCTCCCAGTCCACTGATGGGGGAGGTCCTCCTCCCCTTCCATCTGATCCTAGTCTATCAGGTCTCAGAACTGGCAGCATTGTCTTCCTCTGTAGCCTGGTAAGGCTGCACTCCCCTCAGGGAAGAGGTAATCAAAGAGCAGGCCATCTTTGAACTCAGAGGGAGATCTACAGGCCTCTGCCTCTGCCTTACAAGTGCTGGGATTAAAGGCATGTACCACAACCATGGCAAAAGCAGTTAGTTGTATTGGACCCCCTCCCCCATGTGTGTGGGGTGTGTGTGTGTGTGTGTGTGTGTGTGTGTGTGTGTGTGTGTGTGATCTAGGTCAGCCTCATTTTAAAATCAGAGTGCCAGTTGTTAGGGTTAGTTTTATTTAATAACAGCTTCTTTCTATCCCAGATCTTTCCTGTAATATTATCATAGCTTATCCTGCCTTCATTAATACATTTCTTCAAAATCTGCTGTGTCTACTTCCTCTTATTTCAGCATTCCACTGAAAATAGAGGTTCACCAGCTTGGTGCCCATCTTCTAAGAGCTCTGACCAAGATTAACAAAGACTTCCTTGTGGCTAAGCCAGGAGATTGCTGCCATTTCTATTCTGTGACCTCACCAGTGTCCACACATCATTTTTTCCTGATAATTTCTAGACATCTATTTTTCTGCTTTTGTTTCCTTTGTGGATTATATCATTCATCCCTGTATTGATCTCTCCCAAGATTTTGTCCTATTCCTCTTTTCTCTGGTGATTTTACCCACTTTTCCTTAAAGTTCATACAGTGTCTATTGGAGACACAGCTGCACATCAAGCATGTTCTTGGTTATAAATCCTTTGGAAACTGACCAAGATTAAGCCATTCCAACTATTCAGAGATTTTCTTCCTTTTTCCTTCTAGCCCTAGTGAAAGGCATCACCTACCAAAGTGCTCAAACTAACAAGTCTGGGCTCTCATATTCCCTATCAGATTCCTCTCCACATCCTAGAGGTCTGTCCTCTGATATGCTCAGCTCTATTTTCAGTGATTCCTCATTATTGCCTTAAGTTTAGAGCCTTTGTGTGTGTGTGTGTGTGTGTGTGTGTGTGTGTGTGTGTGTGTGTATGTATATGTTGCAGCTTGACCAATGAATACCCTGTGTCTAGATACCATCCTCACTAATCCATTATTGACCCAGCATCCACAGATGCATTTCTGAAATACTTCCCTGATTAATTTGCCTCATTAAAACTTCAGAACAACCAATATTCTTTGTCTGTTTGTTATTTTTCTGAGATTATTTCACTGTGTAGCCCAGGCTGGCTTTGAACTGATTCCTGCCACTGCCTCCTAAAGTGCTGTGATTACAGTTGTACATCACCACACTTGCCTCAACAAGATTTCAGTAGCCTCTCTCTGACTTGTCTGTCCTCTTGGCTATTTATAAATGTATCGGTTTAGTCATCCTCACCAGCGGGTATTTAATGAATGGCTATTGTGTTTCAGGCTGTATATTCAGAGTAGGCATACAATAGTGAGCATACACTGATGAAGAGTGTAAATGTGGTTTCCTTCCCTTATTGAATGGTTAGTTTGGGAAAACATACTAAGCACAGAAACAGTTATGTATAAAGTATGATAAGTTATATTGTAACCTCTTTCTGCCTTTGTGGTGGGAGTTCACAAAGCATAGTGAGATTTTTTTTTTTTCATTTTTTTCAGGAGTTCTTATACAAAAGCACTCTTATAATTCACATGGAAATAAATGCATTGCCCTACTGGACCATGGTGGCATTCGAGGCTAGCCTGGTCTACAGAGTGAGTTCCAAGACAGCCAGGGCTACACACAGAGAAACCCTGTCTCACCAAACAAACAAACCAGGGCTGCACACACAGAAAACCTGTCTCAATAAATAAGTGCATTGCCCTGTAAGGGTGACCTGTAAGGATATCTCATTATTACTGTGAACTGTGGGTTAGCCTGAGTTCATTGCAAACATTTTGGTATATTTTTGTGCTTCAATAAGCATCATATTACCCAAATGACATTATTAATCTGTTTATTAGGTACTTTTAGTTAGCAGTAATTAATCAACTTACCATCCATTTATAATAATGTGGAGAAGAATGGGAGAACCAGACTTCAACAATACCAACACCATGCACCATTTGAGAGGAGACCCAACCAGGCTCTCAGGCTTAAGGTGGTTTTAGCTTCCCTGTTATTAAAGTTTCTATGGGCAGGGAGAAGACATTCTTTGATATTGAAGCCAGAGTTTAACAAATTGTGTTTTGTTAAGTTTATAGTTTACAAATCTTAGCTGAGAACCTCTGCCCTCTCTTCCTCCCCCCCTTTTTTTATCATTAGGGAGGAGTAATGCATTATGTTTTCCCACCCTCAATTTCATACTGATATCTGTTACCAAGATTTGTCCTATCGTGTGGGCTGCTTGTTGTAAATCTAAGCAGGGGAGGAACGTCACGAAGAAAGGTGTTCTTGTGAGTGTGTCTAAAAGTTAATAGATTGATCTAGGGGTGCTTAACAATTATAGGGCTGGTACCACCATACACAGGGTCAATGTTCTAGAATGGACATGTTGATAATGCATATCACCACTTTTTTATATTAATTACAGTTTATTCACTTTGTATCCCAGCTGTAGTCCCCTTACGCCTCCCCTCCCAATCTAACCCTCCTTCTGTTCTCCTATGCTCCTCATATTACCACTTTTTTTACATAGCATCCTCAACAGTGTCTTGGAGGTGAGGGCAAGAAGTTTTTACTGCACATGTCAGACATACAGAGTTTAATTCTAGTTTAAATTCTGTGGGAAGTGTGGGCAGCAAGCTGAAATGTTCCCAGTTCCTATCAGTAAACAGGACTGTTTGAGTTAGTTTTCTATTGCTATGATAAAATGCTTGGAGAGGAAAGGGTTCATTTCATCTTACAGTTTATAGACCGTCTTAAAAGTCAGGGCAGGAACTGAAGCAGAAGCTATAGAGGAATAGTGCTTACTGGCTTGTTTCCTCAGCTTGCTCAGTTTGCTTTCCTAAACAACATAGAACCACCTGACCAGGGGTGATGGTGAGCTGGGCTCTCCCACATCGATCATTAATCAAGAAAATGTCCTTGCAGACTTAGCCTACAGGCCAGTCTGATAAAAGCAATTCCTCATTGATGTTTCCTCTGATGCATCTAGGCTTGTGTCAAGTACACAAAAGCTAGCAGAGACACTATGAAGTATTGTGTACATGTTAGGCTGAATGGGCACATGGGTTTGAGATAGGGTCTTGCCATGCATGGCTGGCTGGCCTTCAACTCTTAGCAATCATCTTGCCTCAGGCTCCTGAGTACTGAAATTACAAGTACAGTCTCACACCTGTCAGGGCTTCGTACTTTCTAGGAATGACCAGTGCTAGCTCCAGCAAAGTCAAAAATATAATGTTCCCAACTCCCAACTGCCAGGCTGCCCAAGGTACAGCTGCCAATCATGCCTGGAACATTCTCTGATTAAGAGATCAGAGGCAGAGGAGAGGACTGACTGGATGACAATGCTTCTATTTTCTCTCAAGGCGGCAGCTCATTTTCTGGGTCCACCCAAACTACTCTCTGATCTTAGCAGTTTGGGGGAAGTTCCTGGTTCCCTGTCTACTCGAATCTCATGATTTCTTAAGTGATCTTATTAGGCTGCTTTTAAGCTTTTCTTCAAACAGTTCAGCAGTTGGAAAGGGGAAAGAAACACTTACCAGGAAAAAATGAAACACAATCATCCATCCCCATCCTCCATCCAGGGGTTTAGTGTAAGGGAGGGCCTTTTCTTCCCTCTTCATCGTGATGCTTCCTTTATGTTACCTACAGAGATCACTGTAACAGATACAAAACATAGTTGATTCAGCAGTCAAGAGAGTGACCTAAACTTTTGTGGGTTTTGTGTTTGTTTCTTTGGTTGGTTTTAAGACCTGGTCTTGCTATGTAGCTCTGGCTGCTCTAGAAATCATAGCAGTCCTGCCTTCACCTCCTGAAAGCTGGGATTATAGATATGCATTGCTAAACTTTTAAATTTTGTTTTTCTCCACGGTGTAAAACCAATTATTCTATGGTTTTATCTTTTTGTTCCCCCTTAGTTATAGAAGTCTGCTTGGTGTAAATAAGGTCTCAACCTCATTTCCCTGACAGTAATGGCCACTTGTGTTCAGGTTCACCACCAGCTAGCTATAAGCCAATTCTAGAGGAAGCCATGTGTTACTTCCAGTCCTGTGAACCAGCCCTTGACTTTAAAGAAAAAAAGAAAATTTGTGGGGGATCTTGGGTTTAGACAGCCCCTTTTATGACATTTGGGTATTTGAAGGAACTAGATATGCCAACAAAGGGTATTATCTCAACTGGATACTAGATCAGGAGAAGAAACTGGGAAGCTTGCTTGTGAAATAGAGAATTGAAATAAAGGGTACTGGATAGAGGTTAAATATTTTGGGTGTGGTGGTGGATTCTGCAGGAGACTAGAATGCCATAGTATGCTACCTTCAAGCAGAGAGTTAAATAAATACGATAGAAAGAGAACGAGTGAGAAGAAAATATGTGTGTGTGTTCTGAGGAATGGATGTTATCCTCATTTCCCATTTTTAAAACAGGTGAGAGAGAGAGAGAGAGAGTGTGTGTGTGTGTGTGTGTAATGACTGTTAGATGATTAGGCTGGATGGAAAGATGGCAGTTTTTTCAGGCCCCTTGAAAAGACCAACCCAAAGCCCAATTTCATTTTCACCTTACCTTTAAGGATGTGTTCAGCAAACGAATCCTCTACAGACAAGGAAATTTTGGAGGAAAAATTAGTTACTTTTTCTAAAATGTAACTTTTTTTGAAGGCATTTTATTCCTCTGCCTGGTGAAAACAACCAGGCATTGTAGTCAGCAGGGCTCAGTGGTTGAGGCACTCCTGCCAGTGGACTTTATTTCCGGAGGGTGGAGGAAAAGCTGTAACTTGAGAGCAACTGGGGCCAGCCTTCCGACAGGCGTACAAGGTAAGCTTTTTTTTCACCACCAGCCAAAAGCTTTTGGAGTAAACCAAGGAGAAAATCCTCCCAGTGATACCTTAAGCCTAGGGGGAGGGGAGAATGGAATTCCAGAGTTTTGAAACACTTGTTCAAAGTTCCTCAGGGAGTCTTGAGACTGGTTATAAGAAACATAAAACTGTTCCAGAGCTGGAGACCTTTTTTTTTGGACCACAAATGACGGTGTTGGAGCTGGAGATGTTCCCCATGATGGAGTACATGCTTAACTTGGGTACCTGGGTCTAGTCCTGAGTAACAAATGCACAGCAGTCCACAGTAAATTCAGCCTGCTCTGTGCTCTTTTGTGCTCACTGACTAAATAGTACAATTACTAATTTGGGGTTTCAGGTTCCATTTTAATTGCTTTTTTGAACCCGATTACTTTAAATTCAAATGGTTCCCATGAAAGACATATACTTACAGTAATTTTAATGAAACTTTTTTTAACTGAATTTTGGAAGTGATTAAGGCTGAGTCCTAGTAAATTACCTAAATAATTCAACATTCCAGTCCAATTTCCTTCCTTTGCCCCACCTTCCACATTTAAAAAAAGAAAAAGTTACCAAGAAAATGCCTTTGATCTCCCTACACCAACATTCCAGATTTTAAACCAGAGTTTATTTTAAGCCAAAGTATGATTTCTTTGATTTGGGGATCCGCACTTTTTTTTTTTTCTGTAGTTGTTTTTAAACAAGGGGCTTCTCATCCTCTTAAAGCCCAGCACTAATACGTTTTGATCAGAAAGCTTTCAGGAGTACACTCAGTGAATGCAACCATGAAAAGATGATGCAGTTATGTGGTGTTGGTGGAAAAGATCAAGGTAAAACCCAGAGGGAGAGGCATACTTTTCAGAGAGCTTTGTAATAATTATGTACACCAGAGCATGCTTTTAGTGGCCATTCACGGAGCTGTTTTCAAGGTCTTTGGTGGCGTGCTTGCTCCTCTTTTAAAGCAAACCTGCGATTTAGTCACAGGAGATGCAGTTGAGCTTGACATTGATAGCTCTGCCTGGAGCCCTGAGACCAGCTTTGAGGCAGAGTGGAACAGGGTCATCTACCAGCTAAGAGGATTTTGATGTCCTAAAAGATGAGCCCCTGCAGACACACCTTTATATAGAAACTTCAAGGGATAGTGGAGTAGTGAGTAATTCTGCTTTGGTTAGAATCTCAACTTTACATTTTCAGTCTTGAAATTCTGAGCAAGTTAACCTCTTTAAATTTGTCTCCAAAGCTATAAAATATGGCTAGTGCTTTTCTGCAAGACTGTTTAGGATTAAGATTACTGCTTCATGTGGAAGCTCACACTTAAACAATCTCAGCTCACCAGATGCTGAAGCAAGGAGGATTGCTGTGAGTCTGTGCAAATCTGGGTTAAGTCAGATCCTTCTTCTACCTCTACCTCCCCTCCCCCCAAATAAAACAACAACCCATGAATCATTCTTATTAATCAGAAGGAATAACTGAAGCTATCTTGGATATTAGTTAATATTTTGGCACCCATACCCACTGACTTAATGAAGTTTCAGGGTCCTTAAATATATGAATAATTTCCCAGCTAAAAATTTACCATCGTTACTTATTACCGTTGTTCTACTGTCTGATGACTACTGGATAATTTTTAGCCCTTGAGACTCAGAGTTTAGTACAACTAGGCTAGGAAAGTTATCCAGCTGAACCTTTCCTTGTCCTTGTTCAGTCCTTACCTTTAAAATGTTGGCTCACTGTTGTGTGGTGGTAGTGCATGCCTTTAATCCCAGCGCTTGGGAGGCAGAGGCAAGCGGCAGCCAAGGCTACACAGAGAAGCCCTGTCTCAACAAACAAACAAAAAGTTCGCTCACAAAGCTGGGCATAGTAACACACCATTGATCCCAGCACTCAGGAGGCAGAGGCACGCAGATATATGAGTTTGAGGCCAGCCTGGTTTACATAGTGAGTTCCAGGATAGCCAGGGCTACACAGAGAAACCCTGTCTCAAAAAAAAAAAAAAAAAAAAAGCCAAAATAAATAGAAAAAAATTAAAAATAAAGTTGGCTTACAGGGTTGGCCTCTAGCTGGTATTTGGAAACTGAGCCTTCAGGAGAATTCCTACCACCATTATTCTATAGGGAGGAAACAATCTGTTCTGGGAACCTGGAAGTTTGGCATTTGTTAGTAGATAATGCTCATGTGATCATCCTAGTCTGGGCACTGAGAGTGTAGTGAACTACTCTACCTGAAGATATTTCATAGATGTTTTCACAACTCAGTGCTGGAGTACATTCTATGTGACTTGACTGAAGGAGAATTCTTGGAACTTTGTGCTTGTTTCTTTCTTGTTTTGTCCCAAGCACCATTTTCTTTTGTTAATTCTCCTTTTACTATATGATTACAAGGAAATGTTGAATCCCAGACCTAAGTGTCTTAGTTAAGGTTTCTATTGCTCTAATGAAACACTACGACTAGAAAAAAAGCAGGTTGGGGAGAAGGGGTCTATTTGACTTACACTTTCATATCACTGTTTATCATTAAATGAAGTCAGGACAGGAATTCAAGCAGGGCAGGAATATGGAGGCAGGAGCTGATGCAGAAGCCATGGAGGGATGCTGCTTATTGACTTGCTCAGCTTGCTTTCTTACAGGATCCAGGAACACCTCAGGGTCCTACTATAAGCTGGGCCCTCCCCCATCAATCAGTAATCAAGAAGATGGCCTAAGGGCCTGCCTATGGCCCAGTCTTATGGAGACATTACTTTTATAAAGATTTATTTATTTTATGTATCTAAGTGCTCTGTCTGCATGCCAAAAGGGGACATCAGATTACATTATAGATGGCTGTGAGGCACCCTGTGATTACAGGGAATTGAACTCAGCCAGTGCTCTTAACCTCTTGAGTTGTCTCTCCAGCCCCAAAGTGTCACATATAAACTTTCAGTAGGTTTTGGTTTTTTGAGGCAGGGTTTCTCTGTGTAGCCTTGACTGTCTTGGACTCACTTTGTAGAACAGAATGGCCCTGAACTCAGAGATCTGTCTGCCTTTGCTTCCCAAGTGTTGGGATTACAGGCATGCACCACCACACCCGGGCTTTTTTTTTTTTTTTTTTTTAAGAAATGGGGTTTCTTTGTGTGTAGCCCTGACTATCCTGGACTCCCTCTGTAGACCAGGCTGGCCTCAAACTCATAGGGATCTGCCTGCCTCTGCCTCCTGAGGGATTAAAGGCATGTGCCACCATGCCTGGCTGGAGATGTTTTCTTAATTAAGGTTCTTTCCGATCAGATGACTTCAGCTTGTGTCAAATTGACACAAAACTATCCAGCACACTGAAGAATTTGCCTGGCTTTTCTCAAGAAAAAATGTTCTCCAGAGCAAGAAACAGTTGGCAGTGGAAGTGGGGACAGTAAGGTTTACTATAAGTAATTGGTTCACATAATTATGGACACTAAGAAGGTCAACCTCTGCAATCAGCAAACTGCAGACCTGGAAGTCAATGTTCCAAATGAGGTCAGCAAAACTGAGGTGTAAGTTTCAGTGTCCCTGGCCAAAGAAACAAATAGGGAGAAAGAATGGAAGTCTACTCAAGGATTCACTGGGTTACAGGAGGGTCACAAACATACTGATTCAAATGGTCTTGTCCAGATAGAGTGAGAAATGGCTTAACTTCAATTATCTTGGCATCTCATGGTGCAGTCAAGTTAATACACAAAATTAACCATCATAGGGACAGGCTTGGAAAACCCCATGCAACCATATTTCAGTTTTAGTTCTGTGCAGACTAGAAAATTACTTATCTCCAGAGTGGTGGTTTGAACTTGAATGGCCATTTGACTACTTGGCCCCTAGTCAGAGCTGATTGCAAAGGATGAGGAGGTGTAACATTGCTTGAAGAGACTTGTACTGGGTGCAGGATTTGTGGTTTCAAAAGAGTCTTGGCATTCCTAGTGTACCTTTCTCTGCCTCCTGCTTTTGGAACAAGATGTGATCTCTTATCGAGATCTCTCTGTTCCTACCACCATGTCTTTGCTACACCATAATAGACTCTAATTAACACTCAGAAACTATAAATCCAATTAAAGGCTTTCTTTTCTAAGTTGTCATGGCCATGCTGTTTTATCACAGCAATAGAAAAGTAACAAGACATCTAGCCATCAGGACTTCCCAGCAAGAGTCTTGTTTTATTAATAAATTGGATATACTTTTTTCTACCTCAAATGGTTACTGTAAATAAATGAGAAAATGTTTGCTTTGCAGATACTGCTAAAGAGAGGGGTTAAGAGATAAGCAGATATGGCATGACGTGGCACAAGCAGTGGGCAGGAGCTGGGTCTTGCAGATGATGACAGGAACTTTGATTTTGTTCAAAATGCAACAGATGGGAGGTACTGTGAGGATGGAAAATTTTTACTTGGCCCCATACTCTAGGAACCTGAACTTGTAAACTTTAGTTCTTAGCAAACCAGGATCTGATAGAAACGTCTGATACAAACTGTTTCTGAGAGACCCCTCCTGTTTGTGTTCTGAAGTCATGGCAATCCCTAGACCCCCTCCTGTTTGTTTTGCAGTCACTACACCTGGATACAGCAACCACCGATTGCTGTTTCATCAAGATCTTTTATTCGTTGGTCATTGGGTTTGACGGCTACCCCAAGAGACGGAGGGTCTCCCCACTTCGGGGGCCCAACAGTACTTGGTGTGCAGTGAGCAATTATATTTTGTTACTGAGCATCATCATTACCAGGATGCCCTGTCAGATTCAATGTAGCTGAAACTGAAATTCATCACCTTTCTTCTGTTCTAGGACATAGGCTAGAAAATTCCACCCTTGTTCCTATTCTTCTTTGCTCTGTTGCCCTTTTTTTTGTACTTAGTATCAAGATGATTATTTTATGGAATCCATTCTTTCCTAAACTAGGGCGATACAGAAGATTAAGTGAACTAAATGCATGTAAGTTTCTCAGTGTAAACCTAGTATACAAAAACCTCACTGAAGACTGACTTGTAAAAGCCTGGCATGGCGGCTTGGGGGAGGGGAGCTGGCCCCACCCCTTGCTGCCACTGCTTGGCTCTGCTCAGTGGATGGCTTGTGACATGGATGCAGGTGGAGAAAGACCCCTCGAGGGCCAACTGCCACTAGAAATTCAACCATGAACACCACACAATGGACTTGCTTTTTTATTTTTTTGGGGGGGAGGGAAGAGCCACGGGAAGGAATCACATGGGAAGATTGGGAGATGAAGAAGATGGGATTGGGGTACATGATGTGCGATTCCCAAATAATTAAAAACAAAACAAAAACAAAATAGCATAGTGGCACACACCTATAATCCTAGCACTTTTGAAATGAGGCAGGAGGATCAGATATTCAAGGACATTTTTGACTGAATAGTGTGTAAGGCCAGCCTGGGGTACAAGACCCTGATGTGTTTTAACGTCTCAGTACATTTGGGCTAGAAACTGGAGAATGATGAACAAAAGTTTTTTTTCATTAGAAAAAGAAATGAACTTGGCCCCCAAGCTTTCTTTCCAAGAAAGGCTGGTTTAGAAATGTATAGCTCAGACAGCAATCTTGTTTTAGCCTCTCATGAGCTGGGATTAAATTAGGCAAGGGCCACCATGTCTGGCTAGGTCTAGCATTTTCTCTTGGGGGCTAGCCACGGCTGTCCTGGAACTCACTTTGTAAAAGAGGCCGGCCTTAAACCCAAAGATTCACCTGTCTGCCGGTGAGTGCTAGAGTAAAGGCATGCACCACTACCCAGCTGGGTCTAGGATTCTTAAGGTATTTGAGTTAGCTGCCTTCCAGCTATTTCACCACCTGGCCTAACAGACTAAAGCATTTGTGTTAAAAAGTATTCCTGGTTTGCTCTGACATTGCTTTCTTATTAGAAATTCTTACTCTTTGCATTCATTCCCAGTTTGTACCACAGACCCTTATACTACTGTATTCAGCAAGTGTGTATTTAGTGCCTTCTGTGTACCAACAACGGTTCTCAGTGCCTGGAAGGCAAGACAAAGGTGCTCTCACAACAGGGTTGTCAGTGGTGCATATAAACATTTATATTGTATGCCTAAAGTAGGATATTATATTCATATCCTTGCAAGTGTCCTACTCAAAATCCTTATTCTGTAAATAGCGTCTTACACTAATATTCTAGATTTTTTTTTGTATTGGGAAATATTAAATTGCCAAAGAACAGTAGGAACTATCTAAACAAACTGGGGGCTGGCAAGATGGCTCAGTGGGTAAAAGTACTGCAACCTAAGTTTGATCCCCAGAACCCATGGTAGGAGAGAATAAACTCCCCAAAGTTCTCCTCTGACCTCAACACACATACAAAAATCTGAATTCACATATATCATACACGAAGTAACATAATACACACACATATACACACAAACACACACATACACAGAAAACTAATCTTTTTGCCTGCCTGTGCAGTACTCTGTTGAGAATCACTGAAGGTTAAAAATTACCTTTACTCTCAAATGGTAACAAAACAAAACATTTTTGATCCAACATTCTATTATTTCTTTGACAGTCTGGGCGATGTTAAAAATGTAGGCCCTCAGAGTTCAGATGGTGACTATGCTAATTCCTCTGTTTTAGTGATACAAACAACACAGGGTGACTTACATGTAGGACAGTGTTATCAAGAATGTACTGTATTAAATAGTGAGAAATAGTTTCTTGTCTCAGTAAGAACTTAAGGATATTACCTATTTTCACTTCGGTTGAGGGAAATGTTTGCTGGTACTTAAGAACACAGACATTTTAAGGAACTTCTGAAAGAGAAGCAAGGTGTTTGGAATAAAGGTCTTCTTAAAAAAGAAAAAAAATCACAATTTGAAAACCAAAGAAGAAAATGGGCATTAAGTAACAGCTTAAAGAACCAGAAAGGAACCAACTTTCCTCTAAACAGATTTATTGACCACAACAAAGTTCTATATACAAAGTGACTTGGATCTCAGTGACAAATGCCTATAATCCCAGGACAGGCATTTGAAGCAGGAGGTCAGCCTGGGATACACGGTTCTAGGCAATGATGAGCTGCAATATTAGATTGCAGTGACTGTCACCAAAGAGCAAAATGACAAAAGAACCCCCCCAAAACAACAACAACAATTACAGTCCTTTCTAACTGGTATATTGGCATATAAATAAAGTCCACACCGCACATTAAGTGAACAGCCTAACTTCTGGAACTTTAATAGTTTTACAAGTTAACTGACACAGGTAGGACAGAATCCCTGTGCCAGGCTGCTGGAGAGCTGACAGGAGATGTCAAGAGGCCATTTTGTGCACTGCCACTGTGATGCCATCGTGTTTCTGGATCATGATGTTCCTGAAAATCAAAAGAGAAAACATTCAGCAAATATATAGGACTTAAGTGTAAAATTAAAGAGATTTGGTTTAAGGCTGGGCGAAGTGGTGCATGCCTATAACCCCAGCACTCTGGGAGGCAGAGGCAGGCAGATCTCTTGTGAGTTTAAGGGCAGCCTGGTCTACAAAGCGAGTTCAAAACAGCCAAGGCTATGCAGGGAAACCCTGTCTCGAAACAAAGATTTGGTTTAAGACACAAAGCGATACATTTATCTGTATCTACAGTCCCTGTTGAGAAGCCAGCCACAAACTCCCACTGCCATAACCCCTGCCATCTGTTCCCATCCACAAAGGGGACTATACTGTCAAACCATGAGACAGATCTTCCTATAAGAAAAAAAAAATAATAATAAAATAAATAAATAAAAAGCACATACAGATTTGAAGCAGTTGAGAATTATGGGTAAGTCTAATTATCAACATAAACATGAAATTAACCCTTTTTTAAGATTTTTTTACTTTTGTTAAAATTAATACTGAACTCTACTGTTCAATGTCATTTTAATTTTTTCTTTTCTTTTTTTTTTTTTTTCTGGAGGTTTTTGATGGCATTGCTGGGAGTTAGAAATACAGGGCCTTGCAAATGTTATCACTAGCCTAGCCTCCTGGTCCTAATTTTTAGATTAAAAAAAAAATTTTTTTTTTAAGTTTATGTGTGTTTCTGTCTGTGTTTGCCATATGTGCATGGGTGTCTGAGAAGGCCAGAGTGTTGGAGCTTCTGGGATCAGAGTGGTTGTGAGCTGCCAAATGTGGGTGCTAAGAACTGACGAAGGTCCTCTGGAAGAACGGTATGTGCTTTTAACCCCTGAGCCACCTCCCTAGCCACTAGTTTTTATTATATGTTACTTATTGTTTGGTGTGTGTATGTGTGCCACTGATTGTATGCTGACATCAGAGGACAACTTGACGGAGTTTGTTCTTCTCTGGCCATGTGGGTTCCAGGTATGGAGTTCAGGTCATCAGGCTTGCACCTCTATTTGCTGAGTCAGCTTGCTGGACCCTGGTTCTACCTTTAATCTGGATACAGATTATACTTAAATTAATGTCCTCTTTTTCTTCATTCCCCCAACTGATAATAGTATATATATATTTTTAAGGTTCACTTTATCTATGTCTGTCTGAGTGTGCATATACAAATATGTGCAGATTACACACACCTATATACATGTCTGGAGATCAAAAGAAGGTGCTGGGTGCCCTCTATTACCATGCACCTCTTCCATTGATAGAAGTTTTTATCCTTGAACCCCAGACTCCTTTTCTCTGGTAGACTGGAAGACAGCAAGCCAGAGACCTTCTGTCTCTGCCCTATCCCAGACTTGGAGCTGAGGTTACAGGTGTTTGTGGGATGCCTAGCTTGTTAAATGGGTGCAGGAGTGCTAGGATCTAAACTCCAGTCCTCAGGACTGTGGCTCAAGCACTCATCTTAAATGCTATTATCTCTCTAAGCCCCATAATTTTGTATTCTTTCTTCATTTAGCATATTTATGAAGACCTTTATCTTGAAATATCTTTAACATTTATGTTATTTTAGAGAATTCTATTCAACTAATCACTTTTTGTGCTTTTATTTATTTTTTCTTCTTTTTGAGGGGGAGGGGGCAAACTGGCAGTTGATGACAGTTCTTATCCCTCATATTAATGAAGGCCTGTCATGCCCACTGGCCCTGTGGTACACCAACTAGGGAACTACTGATGAAACCAGGGGAAAGCCCAATCAAGTTTTTCTGAACAAGAAAGGGATGTGCTGATATGTACTCACCCATTGTCTGATTCTAAACATACCACAGGGATGTCAGTGGGGTCAGAGGTTAGCTTAGCTGCCTGCTGGGCTAGAACAGATATCACTCCAGCATGCTCATCTGATAGGGTACCACGGCCTACAAAATAGTGATGAAATTGTTACCTAAGGGTCTAAATATGAAATATAACCCTATAGTTTAGTATCTCCTACTGGATTATTCATGAAAAAGAAACTCAGTTTACAGCCTTTTGCCTTTAGGTCAGGTACTGACATGAAATGATTTCCCCCATCTGGTACTCAGTGGATTACAATCACTGAGAAAGTCTGGCAATTGTTCTTAAATCAACAAAGTCATGAATGACATGCAATTTTCAAAGTTACTGCCATCATTATACTATCTCTAAACACCTTCTCAAGCATATAAGGAAGCCGTAATTCAAGTCATCTGATGGTCATGAACTTATTTTATAGGAACCTTATTGAAACCAAGAAATTCAAACCTGAGAATGACAAGAAGCACTCAATATGGATAAGGGACTTGTTGAAACTAATTAATTCCTTATGGAAACCTGATTTTCTTTTCCCAAGCTCAGCCTCAAAGAACAAGGAGAGGTTCAGCTGTAAGCTCACCTTGCCAGCATATGTGAACAATGGTTAGAATGACTTCTGCTGGCATAAGCTATTAGGGCTACTTTTAAATGTCCCAAGGATTCTTCACCATTGTTTTATCTTGTTAACTATATCAGGTTCTAGGTACAAAGGCAACTGCAGAGCTTACAATAGATCCCTGAAATAAAGGCAGCAAGGGCTTGCTTACATCTGAAACTAAGGGAGTAGACAACCCACCACCCTGCAGAAATCCTGGATTCACTATTACTACATAAAAACCCACAGGCCAAAGTGCAGCCCAAAGGGCTGCTGCAATTAGTAACTTCACACCTTAAACTTACTCAGTTTTAGATTTTCACACATGAATTTAAGATTTTCCATTAGTGATTTGGGAAATGCTTTAAAATTTTTACCTTTGTTCCAAAGGACTGCCCTTTGTATAAGACATAACTGTATTACCTCTGTCTGTTACCATAACAGTTTAAGGTCAGAGCTCTTAAGAAGACCTGCATTAGTTATAAGAATTCCTTGGTTTACTAGTTTCTGACATTAATTAACCATAGCTATTTACCTTTCTATGTTCCTTCTATGTAATTGCTACAATTTATTGTACATCACATCTTGGTTCTGTAGTGAGTGTTTTAAACTTTGGAACTAGCTAAAATATCCTATCTCAACCATTCATTAGTTGTATGACCTTAGACAAGGTTTTAATTTCTCTACCACAAAGGGCTCTTGGGGGGAATATTTAAGTTTCACAATGTAAAACACAAAGAATGGTGTCTGGCTGGGTGTGATGCTGTATACCTTTATTCCCAGCATTTGGGGGCAGAGGCAGGCAGATCTCTGTAAATTACGGGCTAGCCTGGTCTACAAAGTGAGTTCTAGGACAGCCAGGACCACATAAAGTAAGTTTAAAAAAAAGGGGGGGGGGTGAAGATGAGGATGGGAATGGTCTCTGATACTTAAGAGCCCAACAAATGCAACTCTTAATTATATCATTTACATATCTATATATATATCATAGCATTATCAAATAATCCAATGAAGAAACTGGAGGCTCCTTCTGTTCTGGGATCACGTTAAAATAGACTAGGAGAATGGGGTTGAAGTCAGATCCATCCAACTGTGAAATTCCTATTTTACTGAGACAACACTGTTAAGAGTGGCTATACTAAAAGTTTCATCCACCTTTCAGAGTTATTGAAGCAGTTATTGAAGCTCGACGGTCCTTGCACATGGAATGATGATTGTCCTTATCTAAAGCCCTTTCCTAGACCACTTGAAAACTGTTCAAAACCATCTTAGTAGGGACAGTTGTAGAACTGGAAGGGACATTTCTTCTTTTAAAAAACAATTGTAAGGCTCCAATTATTTAGTCTTTCTTGGAGACAATCTCTGTGCTAAAAGGTTAAAGGGAATAAAAGCTAGAGAACATAGTAGCAAAGTAAGACTCCTAGTGAACCTCAAAGGGAGATGGGTTTGAGACACTTACAGCCCAGATTGAGTCCTTGTGAATCTGTGCACAAGACTCCAACAATGGATGGATTCTTCATTCTAGTTTTAGGAGTACAAGAAAGACAACCAGACAATGTGAAGAAATATTTAAATTATTGTAATACAAATAGGTTTTTCTATGCACCAAGTATTAAATACTTCAAATCAACCTTTAAAAAAATTCTTCCCCTTATAAAAGAAAAACTGTGAGTTGTATAAATAAAGAAACCGTTTTCTTACAACAGACTGCGCCAGGTACCTCTAGGCTTCATAGGGCCACAAACACTGTAGTTATCTAGGGTTTTGTCCTTGGTACAAAAGCATACTCTAGAATAGCAACTCATTAAGACAACTGTTAAAAATCTAGGTAACAGGAATTGCTCTTGGAGGGGATTAAGAAGCTGAAGAGGGAGGGTGTCTCCCTGTAAGACACTTTACATTTCCCAATTTTAAATTTTACAGAGACAGCCGAAAAACTTAACGGATGTCTTTACTTGACAAGCGCGGAGTAATTGACGAGTTACACACGCGTGCGTTTGCACTGCGGGGGATCAATTTAGCATATCTGGTGCACGCTTCCCCAAATTTATACTCCGTTTCCCAAACTTCGGACCCAACGGAAGACTTCTATGTGACAGGTGATTTGGGCCTCTCCGGCTTGGGCCCACAAGACTCTTTCTCCATAAGGAAGCGTAGAGTCTGGTGAAACTTTAATTTCGAGTCACCCGCGGCCCGGGCGTCGGCAGCAGTCACTCTGTCGCCGCCTCCCCGAGTGCCCCGTACGCTTCCGCGGACACTCGCAGTCCGGGCCGCCTGCCCCGCCCCAGCTCTCCTCTCCCGAGCGCAGGGCCGGACGCACGCACTCACGTGTCTTCCAAATGCTGCTCCAAAGTCGCCTCCATCCCGCCCGCTGTCCGCCCCAGCCCAGGACCCCGCAGTAAAACGCTTCCTCCTTCACCGAAAGCCTCGGTCACGTGACCTGAGCGAGGCAGGAGCCCGGACGGCGTCTCCAGAGGGACCAAATTCAGCGCTGCGCTGCGTCCGCGCTCTTTACGAAAAGCCGTAGCTGCCTAGACCGGACCGGTCCTGCCTGGCTTTCGGCTCGGGGTCCGTGCTTTCTGGTTACTCTTCATCCGCGGGAGCTCTGCAGTTCCCCGTAGCCTCAGCTTCTGGCCTAGCAGCTGGTCTTAGTGATTTTTAACTTGGATTTCGGTTCAAACGACTCTCAGCCCTAGCCAGAGGTGGACCTTGTTTTAGTTTTAAAGTAACCGGGCAGATCGGGCAGGGTCTCCTCTAGGCAGTAAAGCAATCACCAAGAAGACCCGGGACCGTTAGGAAGGGGCGTACACGCGGGACTAAAGGAAGAGATGGCACAGGTTGAACCCCCAAACTGGGTGCTAGGAAAGTATCCGAGTCTTAACACGTTAAGACATTGGTGCCTTCTTTGTTCGCCCAGGCTGGCCTCGAATTCTCCGTCCTGGGTCCTGGGATTCGTATATTTATGAATGTAAATATACTATTTGTGGAAATATAAATATATTTATAGACATATATAAATATAAATCCCCAGAAAAGCAGTACAGACTTACAGTGAGAAGCTTTGATGAAACTGACGGTGTATCCGCGGTTCTCCACTCTTCATTCATCTCTACTCCTCCTGTGTAGCATGCCTTGCTCCAAGTGTCCTCCAGCAATCTGACCTCTGGTATTTACTCAGTCTGTTTTCTGAGCTGATGCCCATAACAGAAGGGGTCGAAACAGTTCTTGAATTTAGAGTCTGTTCAAAACCATATTGTTAAAGTGAAGCTTACAGAATTCTTTTTTTTTTTTTTTTAAATAACTTTTTGACTCAGGTTTCCCGCTAACCTGTGTTTCTCTTGCCTCGGCCTTCCTAAAGCTGCGGCTGCAGGTGTGAGCCACCATGCTTGCCCGTGCTTCCAGAATTGTGGGTGTTTTTCCCCCCATTTTCTTTTTTTTATTATTCTTTATTAATTACACTTCATTCACTTTGTATCCCCCCCTGTGGTTCCCCCCTCCTCCTGTCCCAATCCCTCCCTTCCTCCACCCTCTGCATGCATGCGCCTCCCACGTGTGTCCCGATGAATGTGTTTTCTTGGGTTCAGTGTGTTTGCAGGTGTACAAGCATGTATGTGCAGATGGAGGTCAGAGATCAGCCTCATCTTGTTCCTCAGGTGCCATTAACCTTGTTTTTTGAGACAGAGTCTATCACTAATCTGGGGCTTTGATTAGGCTAGCCTGGCTGGCCATCGAGGCCCAGGGATCTTCTTGTCTCCACCCATCTCAGCTTCTCCAGTGTTGGGATTACGAGCTGTGACACCATACCCATGCCATTATCCATGTTCGCTGGAAACTAAATCCAGGGCTTCACGTTTTCAAGGTAAGAATGCTGACTGAGCCGTCTCCCCAGCTCCTGGTTCTAGAATTTTATCCTTGTTAGGATTCCAATATATGTGGTGTAATTCGGGCTCGGGGGGCACAAGCTTTGGAGAGATTACCTGAGTTGTAGAGTAGCACAATGTGGGGCAACAACAGTTGAAAGATACCCTTAGACACCCGTGCACACCATAAGGCATGCCAGTAACACCAGCACTTGAGAGGCTGGTGTTCTGAGGTTGGAGGTTGGAGGCTGAGGTTGGAAAGTTCTGAGCCCCAGGCTAGTCTGGGGTTCATATTAAGACCTTCTGTTTGAAAACAGCATATACGGGCTGGAGAGATGGCTCAGTGGTTAAGACTACTGTCTGCTCTTCCAAAGGACCCAGGTTCAATTCCCAGCACCTACATGGCAGCTCACAACTGTCTGTAATCCCAGTTCCAAGGGATCTAATGCACACACTAATGCACATAAAATTAAATAAATTATAAAAAAAGGTTTAATAAAAAAAAAAGAAAAGAAAATAGTATATACTATTCAAGGCAAAGTTTGCCCCACTTGTCCAGTGGAAAGCCTGCTCCTTGCCAATGCTATCCCTGAGGAAAGAGTATCAGTTCTGCCTCCCTGCGGTCTCAAGTGGTAAAAATGTTACTGAAGGGCTGGAGAGATGGCTCAGAGGTTAAGAGCACTGTTTGCTCTTCCAAAGGCACTGAGTTCAATTCCCAGCAACCACATGGTGGCTCACAGCCATCAATACTGGGATCTGATGCCCTCTTCTGGCATCAGGTGTACATGCAGATAGAGCACTCATATACATAAAAATAAGTAAGTCTTTAAAACATTTTTTTCTTTTTTTTAATTTACTGAGACTCCTCAGCTTGGCCTTTCTGTTTTCTTGTGCTGAGGAGCTTATCTAGGACCTTGCTCATGCTAGGTAAGTGCTGTATGGCTGACCTCTACTGTCTGCCCAGTTCTGGCTTTCTAATCCTCCACATCATTGTCCAAACAGATACAATGTGAGCCATGCTTGTAGTTTTAAATAGCCTGGAGCCACATAAAGGAAACAGAAGACATTAATTTTAGCACCATTTTGTGTATCTAAAACGTCATTTCAACATGTAATTGATTTTTTTAAAGTACTATTTTCTGTCCAGTCTTAAGTGTTTAAAGGCGAATTGCAGTTCAGACTAACCACATTTCAAGTATTCAATAGCCTTGACTGAACTCAAGTTCAACTCAAGTGAACTCAGTACTTGAGTAGCTTCAGTATTGGCAAATATGTCTTCAGGGTATCTTTGAGACCAGGGGCTGGTCTCAAAGCCAGATAAATGATTAAAGGATTTTCAGAAAGGCTACAGATTAAGCCAATTCTTAAGGTGGAAGGCAGGCCATTCGGGAGAAAAGAAAACAGGAAGAGGAGGAGATTTGGCATGTGGGAAGTGACAGGGGTTAGGGTGTTGTCTTCTTTTCTATCTTGCGCCTTTTGCCCTGCACAGGTGGGTAGAGTGAAGGAAAGCTATGGAAGTAAGGGTAGTGCTAGGAACTTGGCTTTTGCTCAGAGGAGGTGTCTGACTTTGCATTGCTTTCTGCTTTCTTTAGCATTCAGGGTACTTGATGACTCTATATTCCCAGTTTTGAATGCTAGAAGCCATTTCTGGAATGATGGGGGGAAAAAATCCCAAACACCTATATCAGAGCATTGGCCTCATTGGGTTGGAGCTTTTCTTGTGTTTACTTTGCAGGATGGATAGAATGCCTTCTCCATCTCTGTACATGAGGCCCATGGAGAAACAGAAGCTGGCTAAGCACTTCCTGGAGACACTTTTTTTTTTTTTTTGAATGTCTATATTTGCACACAGAGCAGTAAGTTTCCTTGTGGCACTGTCACAATACTTTGTATTGCTTGATCTCTCCAATGTCTCTCCTCTTTGTCTCTGCTCCTGCTCTCTGTACCCTTCCACCCTCAATATTCCAATGTCTACTTTTATGCTGCATATTTCTCTCACCCTCCCTATAGCCGTCCTTTCAAATCTATTTCCCCCCACCTCCCACCCCTGTGATCTCCTCTCTAGAGGGGTTTAAATGGCATCCCTTTAGAAGAGAAAATAAAGATATAAAAACTATCGAGTCAGTAACTTCAATTTTTTTTTTTTTAATCTCTCCCCTCCCTGCAAATAAGCTCTAAGAAATGAAAGTCCTTGGTGGGCACAGCAAAGAATGCCAAAGTCCACATACCCAACCGGGAATGGGAAGGAGGTATGGGTCAGAACCCCAGATCTTACATGCTGTCTTGGTGCTGTTTCCTCTGCCATGACTCCCCTTTCTGAGGAACTCAAGTACAGTATTGGTGGACCGCTAATCCCAGCACTCAGGGTTTCTATGAATTTAAACCTACCTAGACTGCCTAGTAAGTTTGAAGACAGCCTGAAATACAGAGAAAGACCCTGTTTAAAAAGGAAGAAAGATCTTTAATGGTGGGCCCAGCTGTCGTCTGGGTGCAGAGAGATGTGCTATCCCACAGCCACCCACACTGTCCAGTGGATGGCTCAAATGTTTAGTAACAGGCCTTCTGTGTAATGAACCCTAATGAGCCACTAGGGGGCACCAAGGCCACAGAAAACTGCACAATGAAGGGCAGAGAGAGAGAGAGAGAGAGAGAGAGAGAGAGAGAGTGTATAGGGGTGTGTTGGAGGATGAGGGGTGCAAGGAGGATGTATAAGCCTCCAGAGTTGGTAGAAAGTGGTAAAGAGAGTGTCAGGTATCAAATGTGGTGGGTAGCCTTTGAGTCAAAGGGATACATTTGAATCCTGGCCAGGGCGCTCACCACCCATAGGATCTCTGAGTCTCTGGGGGGCGTTTGGCATGGGGAGCACTGCTTCTGCCTCACCAAGGTACAGGGAGGATTCCATGGGTTACTTTATGTAAGAGAGGCAGGTGCATTATCAGAGTCCATTTGAGTAAGAAAGTCTGTTTATTTCCTCAGGTTGATTGTGATCCAGATGATGCACATGAAAAAAACAAAACAGCACAAATTATCAGTGTCATATCCATGAGAGCTGCTGACTCTGCACAGCTTCATTGTAAAGCTGGGCCAAATGATGGAGTTACATTGATTTTATTATTATTAGGTTTTTTTTTCTAGAAAAGCTATAAATTTTCTATAAAATTATAAAATACAGTGAGAAAAAAAACAAAAACAAAAACAAAAAAACAACCAGCTGAAGTTCCAGACCTAACTCTAATGCTTCTAAGAAGTGAAGTAGAACATGGAGGTAGGGAGGTAGGTAGGGTGATGGGGAAGGCATGAGACAGGATCACCGAAGTCTTGCCAGCTTAAGCATCTCTAAGCCGCAGCACACGGCCCTCGTGAGGACCAGGGGCTGGGATCAGGGGTGTCCTTCCAGTTAACCATGGATACCACTGAGACCTGAGCCTAGATATAAACTTGGCTCCTGCACGTGGTATTAATGCCATTCGTGGTTTGTGTGTACGAGCTGTCAGCTGTGTGACAAGTGACGCACCCTTCATCGCCACACTTTCAAAATTTCTTTTTGAAGCTAATATTACTCTCTCCTTCTTGCAGTAAAGATCGCAGTGCTCAGAAGACATTGCAGTATGTGAGCTGGGTACGGTGTCATGCAGCTGTAGTTCTAGGATTCTGAAGGCAGAGGCCACACGTTTGAGGCTACTCAGTTCTACATAGAGAGTTCCAAGCCAGCCAGGGCCACACAGAGAAACTTGTCAAAACAGAAGCAGAACTTTGGCCAGATCATCCTCCTTACCCCCTTCCTATTTTGCCCCACTGTGCCGAGAACACAGTCCTAGAACTCAGGGCCAGAGGTGGTAGGAGCTTGGTCCGCATCTCTTACTCTAGACAAGAAGTGTGAGGTTCATAGAGAAGAGGTGTTTAATTTACAGTTTTTGACATGGAACTCTATCCACGCCTGTCATGCTGCCAGATACTATTGAGCTGTAGTTTAAACCTGCTTCAGAGAGATTCACTGTTATGAGTTGAATTTTTACCTTCTCCAAATTCACATGTGAGGATCCTAACCCCAAGTGCCTTGGAATGTGTAAAGGGCTACTTTGGGGATAGGGCCTTTATGGAGGGCAATCAAGTTAAAATGAAGACATTAGGGTGGGTCTTAACCCTGTATGACGATTGGCCTCGTCAGAAAGAAAGACGTATCTAGAGGAGACAGGCTCTGGCTGTAAACACCTGACTATCAGCCAAGGAGAAAAGCCTAGAGGAAACTACTCTGCAAAAAAGAAAACCCTTGATTTGGGGCTTCTGTCCTCCAGACTCATGGGTAAACCACCCAGCTTGTGGTTCATTATTATGGCATCCCTGGGGAGTGAGTATGTTCATGTATCCAGAAAGCCCGCAAGTCAAAGCAGGATCAGAAAGACACTTAGTGACTCTTTGTTAACAGAAGGACTAGTTGGTACAGTCGCCCTCCCAAAGGCAAGGAGAGGACAGGGGAGTGTTCCAGCTTGCTCACAGTATGGGTTTTGTTGTTGTTGTTTGTTTGTTTTTGGCTAAGATAGTTTTCTTCCATTGGACTGGCCAGCAGTGCTGACATGACCTAATTAACTTGGGCTTTGACTCTTTTTAAAATTTTTATACACATGTGTACCATGTGCTTGTTATAGTCATATGTATGTGGGGGGGGGTATCATGCTCCAGAACCTTCTCTACCTCCTTTGAGGCCTCCTCTCATTGGCTTAGAACTCACCAACTAGGCTAGACTGGCTGGCCACCGAGTTCCAGGGATCCCTCCTGTCTCTGTCTCTTAGGACAGCCACGTACCACCGTGCCCAGTATTTTTACATGGATCTGGGGATTGGACTCAGGTCCTCATGCTTTCAAGGCTTCACCAATGAGCCATTTCCCCATCTCATTGAACCTATTTTATATATGAGCCTCCACTATACAAGGTACTCAATAAATGTGTATTGAGGAAATA